ATAGTTTTTTTTGGTTCAGAAAGAAAAAGGATTTAATTAAAAAGAAAGTTAATAATAATAATAAAATTAAAGTAGAGAGTATAATTAATGTTTAGATAAGAGAAAAGATAATAATTAATAAGAAATGACAAATTTAATGAGAAATGGTTACGATAAATATGTCATTAATTATAACACATCAATAGTTCAAATGGGACAAAGCAAAATTTTGCTCTCAAAAGTGATAACAGCTAGGGCTCTGTAACAAGTACAATGAATGATCAAATGTTGAAAGAAATCATAAACTCAGGAAAAATCTACCAAAGTTATCAATAAAGGTCAGAACTACAATTTTCATTTGCTAAATCAACCGTAATTCCGAGTTAACAGCACATGCTGAATGTTGAAAATTCATAAAAATATCAAAAATTATTTATTTTTAATTATGACTTAAAAACTTCAGTACTTCAAATTCAATTCTTTAACATTTTCAGTATTTAATTTTGAAATTTATCAAATAGCACCTTATTCTCACCGAAGAATTCGACATTCTTGTAAACGAATAGCATTAGAAGGCCGGCAGTTCAATTCCCGTTGAGGGCAGAAGTATGATGGTTTTAAGTTGTAGTCAAATAGATTATAAAAAAGTAAAAGAAACACTTGATAGTAAATGAGTTCTCACGATTTATTTGTACAAGACCATTACGATTTATTTGTACAAGTGGGATTAAAAAATTATAAGATTATAAACTTGAATTCTAGAGAATTTTATAGTATATTATGGAATTCTACACAATTGTTGAAGGAAACAAAATTATGACAATCTATGTGTACAACTGTACTAGTGTAAGCTATCGAACAATTATTGGTCATATATTTCAGTTGTTTAACGTTTCCGGGGAAAAAAATAATAATAATTAAGAGATTCTAGACTTAAATTGTAAAATTACACAATTGTTAAAGAAAACAAAAATCTAAGACAATCTATGCCAACTTTCTATGGACCATCTATGCGAACTTCTTCTTCTTAAACGGACGTACTTACTACTGATTTGGTTCAATATTAAAGTGACAAGTATTTATACAAAATAAAATTAAAAAAAATTAATTAGTTATCAAGTTAAACCAATAAAATTCAAATCAAATTATGATTCTTTCTCACGCTACTATATTTGTAGAAGCCATGATTTTTTATTTGGACACACGAATTAACAACTAATCACGAATTAACAACTAATATAACATAAAGAAATCAACCCAAAACACGAGCATACAAACAAGGAACAACCAAAAGTCACCCAAATGATAAAATTTAGTACAGGCAACACCATTTGTATCTATAATAAACTAACAATTTAACTATTATATATATATATATATATCAAGAAATTCATGGTTCATTTTGCTTGATAAAGGCCATAGTGGAATCCAAAAATCAGCAATAGAATTCTTTTTTACAATAGCATAAGTAAATAATCATGCCGCCTCAATCTTTGCTTTGAAAATCACAAAAAATCGTTGCATGTTATTTTAAATATTAGAGACATTTGTTAATTTAGTATTGCGTCACATTAGTGGTAATTATAAACTTTCTAGTCGTGAGTAGGCAAGTATTATGGGTATAAAATTTTTATTCTAGAAAATTTATTGTCAATTCATAAAAGGAAAGTGATTATTGCACCGAATAGTTACAGTGAATGACTAGACCTATTCTTATAATTGATCAATTATATAACAAATATGAAAGTGAAGCTCTACTCTTCTAAAGAGTTGAGAAGCCAATGCATAACCAATTGATTTGAAATTACCATTTTTCAAATTTAAGATCCAATGAAGAAGTTTTATGGACTTAAACCTCAAGAAGCCTCAAGAAGTTTTAGCTTTTCAGAAGATCACATTTAACGCGATCTTTCTGCTCTCAAGATCATCTTAAATTTTATTGGAAATTTACTATCCATTTGTTTTCAGAGAAAATGAATCGAGGCTATGTTCGGAATTGGATCTTTAGAATTTGAATTGATGGAATTAGAGAAAAATAACTTAAAAAATTGAACTAAAATTTTCTTCTATTTCACCCATTTCAAGTCCAAAACTCCAATTTTATGTAATCAAATATAGCTCAAAAGAATTTACATTATTCGTTTCAGTGGCATGGATCTTACAATTTCTACTGTTGGTGTTCGGTGGCTGAAATCACCAAACTGAATTGAGCTTCAGATTTTAGTTCATATCAAAATGGAAATGGAATATTTGTTGTGCCAAGCTTAAAAGCGAAAGAAAAATATGTAAAAACTATGTATACTTAAGTTTTAAATGGATGTTAATGTGATAATTACCAAACTGTTTCTTAGTTAAAATGAATGCAAGGTTTAAGGAATCTCATAAATATTTACACACACACACACATTGAATTCACTTTGTTTCCCCCAAACTTTATTCATTCATAAAAAGAAAATATCTAATAGGTTTTTACAAAAATATGGAGCTTTTTCATCATGGGCACAGTAACTTTTATACTTAGAATCACAATATTATTAGTTTGACCAATTTTGTCAAAGTAAATTAATGGTCTTAATTAATTCACTTCGACAGTGTGCTAAAGTAGCTAAACTAACATGCCTTCAAATCATTTTTCTTATAGAATGACAAGACTGAAAATCGTGTACGAGAATTTAAAGAGTTGAATTTGTGCCTGAGTGGTAATTAAAAAATATATATTTTTTTTTATATTTTTTAAACCGGTCAGCTGACGTGCGATAAGCTAAGTAGGGGTCACCATTGAAATTTTTTCTTTTTGCTATTATATCCACAAATTTTACTATTTTTTTCTTTTAATTATATACTTACAAAATTTTGAGTTTGTTCCCACTGAAATTAAAGAAAAATTTCACTATTGCCCCTTCAACAATTTTCTATTAAAAATCACCCCGTCTCACATACTTTTTGGTCCGGGTCAACATTCAATTTCAGTTTCAGTGTTCAGTTTCAGTGATAAGCGATGTCATGTTCTTGCAACTTAAAATATTAGCATACCATATTTTAAGTTGGCGCTTACCCTTTTTAATTTTATTCAAATTGCATTATCAAACAGATTTAATTCTCTCAAAATTAAGTACTGAATTGAGTTATCAAAAAATAACTAAGTGATTATTTACTATTGAATTTAGAGAATTAATTATACTTTTTTTCCTATCACCGTCAATAAACACTGATACCACCACCAAGCTATGGTGGATTATTACCTCTATTTTTCGAAGTGATGGGCAAAAACATGTGTGAGTGCTATTTGATACAGTTAAAAATTAAGTACTGAAAATTTTAAGAGTCGAACTTGAGACCCTGAAGTTTTTGAGTGATAATATTTTTTGAATCTTGAGCGTTAAACATTCAGTGATGAGTGATGTCTCTATCATTTGAAATTTTACTCCATTTGCTTACCTTATTCAAATTGCATTATTAAAAGCACTTAATTGCTTAAGTGCTTAATTGGTTCAGAATTTTCAAACAACATCTATTACTTACATAAAATTAATAAATAAATGCAGTGATGTTCAATATTTTAAGGTAAATTGCACTCACACTTCAGGTTTGGATTAAAGACAGGTAAATATAACTCAGGCACTTTTTGAACAATGACATCCCCAATTTGGTAAATTGAACAATGATACCCCAAATCAAATTAAAAGTACCTTATTACCATTTAACTTATGAATGGATTTATTTGAATTATGAATTTTTCATTTTAATCTACTCAAACTAGGGCTACAACTTGGACGAGTTGGGTGGATTTAAGGTATAACTTGAGTCCAACTTACCATATGAAATACTAAACCAAAGCCCAACACAACCCTAACTACTCAACCGAGTCTAATACATCATTCTACTTTTAAATTCGGGTTTGTAACTCGGGCTTAAATTCCATGTTAAAAATTGGAGGTGAATTCGAGTTACTTATATAGCTAATCTTCACACCAAAAATTTAATATGATCTTGAATTAATTTTAAATTATATTACTCTTAAACAAAAAATAAATAAATAAATAAAGACATTTTATAAATTTTGAACAAATTACAAATAAATTCTTAGAAAATAAATTATCTTAAATATTAACATAAAATAAGTTAAGATTTTACCAATGAAGTTGAAAAGAAAAATAGAAATCGTAATTTAAATATTATATATAATGTATTTAAAATTAAAAATATATAGTAAAATAATATTATAATTCGGGTTCAAATTTACTCAGTTTGCTAGTACCTGAACCCAAGCCCAACCCTAATTAAAATCATAATATTTATTAATTAGTGTAAAATAAGTTTTTAAAAGAGTTTATATAAAACTACACCTATCAATAATTGAATTTCTATTGTAAAGTTTAATTAAAAATTATTATTATTATCTCTTTCACCTTGTGTAAATTTTTTGTTCATGGATATTTTAAAATTTATAATTATTTAATTACTTTGATAAAGATTGATTTAAATTAAATTTTACTTTAAGTGCAAAGCACCCGTAAAGACAAAAGCACGTGTAAAGACAAAAGCAGGAGTATTTCTAATTGCTTACATTGAAGCAATGAAAAATTTAAAGAGAAGCTTAGATTTTCGACCGATTTCAACTTCAAAAATTTATTATTTTGAATTCCCACGAAAAATGGTCAAACTTAGTTCAAATTAACTGTTTAAAAATATAAAAAAAGGTTAGATATTCTATGCGATTTCAAATGATAAAATTTATTGTTTTAAAAAAGAATAATGATACCTGCATTTGTCAGAATTGTTAGATTTTTTATATTTAATTGGTCAATGCACTCTAAATATAAAAAATATCTATTCATTAATGGCCAATTTTACTCGGACTATACTATCTTAAATTCCAACTATTCCCGACACAACACCAAAAAATTGTTTCAAACGCAATTTAATTTCTTATTTGTATTCAAATTGTTCCAAATGATTAAAAACGGCCAGTCCAATAATTAACCTGCAATGAATAAGGAATGTATAATAAAGCTACGAATCATCCAATAGCATATCCAATACAAACATGTAAATTTTTAAAGATTTTTCAAAAAAATTCCTGATATGTAAATTTCTTCCTTTCATTGAATATTTGACAAACTTAATCATGGGCAAATTTGACTGATTACTATTCTAAAAGGGACATTGAATTTTTTAAAGCAATTTAGTCAAATAAAATAAAATAAAATATGACAAAAATATCATTAAAAAAAAAAAAATCAATTAATTTGGTGAGGATTGCCGCACCGAACAAGCAACCATCTGGGCCCACTGTCTCAATTTCGTCTTCACCATCTCCTGATCATCACCTTCACACATATTCCAAATTAAATAAATAAACACTAATTATTAATCAATAAAACCACCACCATTGGATCCAAAAAAAAAAAAAAAGGATCAAAGCTGATATGTACCTGAATCGAATATAGTGCTAGGGCTCACAATCGACGATGACGAATCGCAATCAGAAGTCGTCGTTGTGGAAGACGACGATGATGACCTGGACAGTGTTTTGCTGTAGTAAAGCTCCAGAGCAGGGAACGCATCGGAGAGTTTCGGATCGATCTCGGGCGAATCGGTGTCGAACCCGAACCCGAGTTCGAAGCACGCCCTGAGTTCTTCCAAGTCCTCGTCCGTAACGCTCATGCTGCGTCCGCGTCGCAGGCGGTGAATTCTCTTCCGCCTCGACCACACCTCCTCCCGCTGCGTGTCCGGGGACCACGAATTGTGCTTGTAGAGCGGACGCGGCGGAGCTTTGGATTCCGACATGGTTGAAGCACCACCGCACTCGCCGCCGTCTGCGGCTGAGAAATGTCGCTGTCTGAGTCGGAGAATGCGGCGGGAAGGTCTTTTTAAAGTCTCGTTTGGACTCTGAGTCCTGTTTTGACACGTCATAGAAGTATATAGAAGCTTTTGTTTATGCAAAGTGGGACAACTTGTAGTTGCAATACAGGAGAACCGTTATGGTGGTACAGGCTGGCTAGGGCCCACCTCCAACAAGGAATAGGAGAAAAATGGAAGGGCCTTTTGGATATTTATCCACTCCAAATCCTTTTACAGGCAAGTATTTTATTATTATTTTATGTATTAGATGGTTCTAGACGAGGATGTCCACTTGGTCCAGTTAAATTAAATCACATATTTAAGTTTATTTATAATTTTTTTTTTTTTTTTTAAACCACGGTTAGGGAGTTAAATTGAACACGAACATAAATACATGGCTCTCTTCTAATTGAATTAAAAATTACGTGGATTTTCACTCGTGTAAATACTCTCTCCTTAACAAATTTCACCATTTTTAACAACTAACAAATTCAAACGACATAATCTATTTACAACAACAAAATCAAACTATAACTAAATTTATTCTTTTCTTTTTATTTTAAACCTACTTTTGAACTAGAATAATATAATAACTGTCAAGTGAAAAATGAAAAGGAAAAGAGTGAAATCACATTTCTTGAACATCCCTCAATAAATTTGTTTAATATAGAAGGTCAGTGTAAATTTTGGATAAAGAGGGGTGTGTAATTATGTTATTTCTTACTTTTTTTATCTTGATAAATTAGGAAGAGAGGTAACTCAAACACGAATGACGCCTCAAAGAGCTCCGAGCTCTACCAATAAGTTCACTAGATAATGCCGGCGTATATTATACCTTTTTACCTATCTATCAATCTATCTATATATATATATATAGGAGGGCCTTTTAGGCATTTGACTTTAGCATTAAAAAACATCTTTCTTTGGCGCCAAGTATGTATCTGCCTGTAGTTGCTTGACAGGTACACAAAAGAGAGAACTTGGTGCTTTTCACACAGTTGCATGAGTTGTCGCCTGGTTGGATTATTGGTCTCAAGAATATGTGCAGCCGATAGAAGACATGTAATCAAATCAATGCATACGAATTGAAAATAAATAAAGTGAATCAATGCATATAAAATATCTCATTTATAACACTGTTGAGAGCACCAAATCAGCGCCTTAAATTTAAAATCTGAAGAATTTTAGTTCCAAACATATAATGAAGATTTCATACCCCGAGTCTATAAATCAAATGTTGAGTAAAAGGCAACCAATAATACAAAAGTATAACCACCATCTTGCCCTCACCGCCCTCGCCATCTTCATTCCATTGATTTAAAAGCTCAAACAAGACGAAGATGCAACAAAATCAGCTTCAATCCTGATCATCCAGTCCAAACTCCATACTCGGACCTGCAACAAGAGACATACATTTAATGATGAAGATGTTGAACCATTTTATACCAATGCCATCCTGTATAACATTGAAACACCTACTTCAGTTAGGCTGCAGAAATCCCAAGATGCTCGATTGCCCCCTTACAATCGGGATCAGGAATGGGTTAACCAGCCGTGTCACAAGACTACTTATCAGCTACCAATGGTGAAATTTTGGTAGAAAAATGTCTCCTGACTGGTTTCATTTGGGGAATATAGCTCTACTTATCACAGCATTGGGTGCTTCGTATACATTTCAATTGCATGCTAAGTCTAGCTCCTGGTGTATTCAAACACCAGTCCTTCTGCTACACTCCTTGCCCTTGCATGACCAAAAACCTTGCTCACAATAGCCAATGCAAAATCTGTTGCAGTCGCGAGTCCCTTGCTTGTGATAATTTTACCATCAATAACTACTCGGGCACCATCAACTACCTCATTGGTGAGCTTGCTCATGACAGAGGGATGAGCGGTGGCTCTCCTGTCCTGTTTTTTTGTCGAGGAATAATAAATGTTAATGTCCCACAGTTAATAAAGTAAGCAGGCATCAACTTGTTTCAACTTACCTTGAGCAACCCTTGTTTATGCAGTACTGCTGGTGAAGAGCAGATTGCTCCATATGCTCTTCCAGCTGATTCTTGTTCTTTAAGCAACTTCTTTAGAACCTTGGATCTGTGTAACCGCTCTGCTCCAGCAATTCCTCCCTGCAATTAGGTAAATTCTTATTGACTTCAAGGCTCAAGCAGTGAGCAAGCACAAAATGAACAAATTTGAGAAGTACTAACACAACTCTGGTGCACCTAACAATTTGTATTACATTAGAATAAAATTCTATAGACGAGCGACACTAACAAATATTCATGGAGGACCATTTGTGCCACGCATCTAAGATATGAGGTTACAACAGCACTGGTAGGTCCACCCACTTATCAAATGGTTGACTGGTAATACAGCAATTTAACATAAAACTCTAGTTAAGCTGACCCTGATATTATAATTTGAAGACTCTTCGATTTGATGAGGTTCAATATCAAGGGGTATCCCAACCATTTGGGTAGGAGTGACCCCCTAGGCACACCTCCACACTCTCAAAACTGATATCACAGTAAATGTTCAAGTCTTAGCACCAGCCTTTAAAACAGTATCAACACTAAGATAAAAGCCAAAGAACACAATATAAGCAGATTGTTTTATTTATAAGCCAATTTTGTTGTCTTACCGGTAGGATGATCAAATCATATATTGATTCAGAAGCACTATCAATTGACTTGTCTGCAACAATTTTTGTGCCTTGGGATGCCAATATCTGTGTGGATTTTTCAACTGAAGCAACCACAACATCCACTTTTGCCCGCCGTAGAATATCTACAATTGTTACTACTTCAATTTCTTCAGAACCATTTGCAACTGGAATGAGAACCTGCGAGTTGGTGAAGTAAGAGAATGATTCATGAATTCTGTATTAATAAAAAACAAATTCAGAAATGTTTTTCCCAGTATTGACCCAGATTTGGATTGTCATGAATTGGAGCATTCCAAAGACTTGGAGATCCAACTACAAGAAGACAAGTAATCTGACACAATATTGCTCTACTACTCTATCCTTTGCCTCATTTTTTTCTAACCTTCTGTTTTTTTTTTTTTTTCCCCCTCCTATTGCAATTTTGTGTAGGGTATGGAGAAATTTGAATTTGAATTACTACTCATCATTGAACCTTAATTCTTTCTTACCTGTAAATAATCCCAAATAAAATGACATAAAAATTTGTGCCAAACAACTTGTTGGAAATGGTTGAGTTGCAGGATACAAGGAAGTTTGACAAAACCAATTGTTCAAAGAGGTGCATGTATATAGATGTTGGGGGTGGGGGGAGAGAGAGTTGGAGGGACATGAAATAAGAAGGGAGGCACAGCCAACTGGAAGCGTTTGCATTAAAACAATATGAGATTTTTTTTTTTGTTGGAAATCATTCAAGCTCAGAGCTCCCACATTTCAGACCAAGAATTGGGAATAAAGAAAATCTCTAAAACAAAAACTACTGAGATGATATAGAAATGTTCAAAAAACATAAAGCCCAATTCCCAAGTAAAAATCCCAACGTATTTATACCATAAGCAGAAACTGGATGATATTCCAGTTCCAAAAAAAATGACTCCAGGACACGACCCTTAAACAAGAAACTTCCAGTCCTTGCAAACAACAGATACTATTTAATGGAGAACAAGCCATGAAAGAATCCTATCATATGTTAACATGATGCCTGTTATTGCACCTCAAGCAAGGGGACCGCAAATAAACATCTTCTGAAGCTCAGCCTTTAATTAGAAAGATGATCAATATCAAAAACCCCACAATAGTTTATTAGCAAACAAGTATTCAAATGAAAGATTTGTTCACTTGACTATAAACTAAAAAGTCTTCTACCGAGTAAATCATAAGCAGAACTAGAACTGCATGAGAACTTCCTTTAAGCACCAGTGCACCAGATAAATGGTCTTTGTTGGAGTCAAGCAAAGATGCCAAGAACTCCGTGTATACAAAAACAAAAATAAAAGTTAAGTACATTTCTAGGAAGAAGAGAAAATTAAACTTATATATATTCACAAAGTCAAGGTAATAGTAGAATAGCAGCAGCAGGAAGAGGAAAAGAAATAGAATACCCCTAAAATCAATTGAATTAAAATGTTTGCAAGTACCTAGAAATGGTTGACAAGATATGTGCATTCAAGAAAAAAGCTATGGAAAAAATCATACTTCAAAGTACACCAAAAAATGTATATCATACCAGCTGCACGTCAATCAGAGATGGTTGAGGATAGAGGAGCTTTAAGACATCGAGTCACAACACTAATAGCAGTAAATAACCAAGCAGCGTGGAAAAAGAGAAACTACTTAGTACTTACATGAGGATTATGACCGATTGCCCACTCAACTTCATTGAATTCTTCTTTTCTAGGATTGTCAAGAGCAGTTTTCATAAGCTGACCAAAAAAAAAATAAAGAGGAAATTGACAAGATGAAAGCAAGTAGATTTATTATTAAACAGAAATCAAATATTAACTTACATCAGTTTCTTGATAGCAGATACTTTACCGTACTATATGGTATTAAGGTCACAAAGAACTTTCATCAATTTCCTTTTTTTATTTTTTATTTTTCGTTAGTATGTCACCTGCTTTAAATCATGAATAATCTCTTAAGTCAAGACAAATAATAACAGGGGATTTTTGAAAGTATAGACTTGTGTTAAATATTTCCCTCTCTTTATTATGAATACTGAGGTATACTTGGATATTTTTCATACTCCACGTCCCTCCGTACTGCTTTCTTTAAATTACAATGAACATGTTTATACAAGAAAAATAAATTATTACTATTGTTACTAGTAATTTCATAATCAACAGAATCAATTAACAAAATCTAGGGTTTTGAAAGACAGCATTTCTGGCTCTCAGATCATTATGGGAACTTTAGAATATTAGGAACCTCAATATGTGAACAAAATCTATAGACCATAATACATACATGTACTTTAACTTGGACGAAAACAATTTAAAGGACTACCACCAAACTAGTAATGAGTAAGCTAATGAGTCATGGTGTTTTGTCTAGGAAGAGACATTTTTTAAAACAATTGATGACTCAATAGATACCATATTTCTCTATAGGAAAAACAGTAACATTATTCCCAACTCACAACAAAGTATTTTCTCAACTAAATACAACCACAACATGCAATAAATGTCTTACCAACAATTCTCCAACCTCCTTGGCAACAGACTCCCCAAACAGTTGGTCCACTAGTGTTACAGCAAACTCAAAAGAAGTACCAGGGCCACGGCTTGTTGTAAGCTCTCCTGAAACTTGGATGTTTGATTTAACAGCCCAAAAATGTGGAAGCTTGTCCATGAATGCAGGGTGACAAGTCGTCTTGCAGGACATACTACATCCTAGTTAGCCAGTTTAATGTGAATGTATATGTACAAAGTCGTCAAAATTTATCCAAAAATTCCAATGCCAGGTACCTGTTTTCTCCTGATAAGTCCCCATGGCAAAAGTGTGACTGCTGGAGCAGCACAGATTGCACCATATAACCTTTTTCCCTCAGCTTGTTTGCTTGTAATTTCACGAAGAACTTTGCAATCTCTTAAGCGTGCAGATCCAGGCATTCCTCCCTAGACAAATGAAAATGACATCACAACTGAATAAGTGAAATATCCAAAATAAATGTATATGAAGAACCACCAACTAGCGTGCAAAAGGGAAAGAACTTCATCAGATTGGTGGAGTAGAGGATGGATAGTAATAGACTGTCCCATAGATGATAACATATTATATATGACCCACATGGGAATCATTTCGCGCTGGAATGTTTGGCACTCAAGAGTCAAGATTGAGTTGGAATACCATAAAAAATGGTCCTTTGGACATATAGCGAATTCCATAAAACTTATTTGCAAGAGTTAGATTTTTCCGGATTTCTGCTAGCACTAACTATCTCTCTATATTTACACTAGCAGCATGAGAAAACATATAAATGACAAAAATCGGGAGTTAAACATTAAGAATTATTTTTGGTAACCTCGTACTCACAAGCTGCTTACAAAAAATATAACTGCCAACACTGTGGACTATAATCAACAGCTACCGCGCCATAGCCTCAAGAAGTTTTGCTTTATAATTTTATAAGGAGCTTTCAATTCAAACGTAAAGATGACACCTGGTGATATCTCCCTCACAAAAGACACTTGAGACTTTCACAACCGTGACATCCAGTAAACCATTGCTGGCAAACCAATGGGGTTTTTGGAAAAACCATATTGCACCTGAATTTCTTTCTAACCATGTAACCATGTGGAACACTTCAGGAATATTGATCAATATCATTCAGGAATAGTTCTTTACACTTGGGATACTGAGATTTAGTTTGGAAATTATGTACCATAAGTTTGGGTTGTCATTTATTTTTTATAATAATATCAGGGTGAGGTATGAGTTATATTTGAATTAAAATCAAGGACGTTGTCACAATTTCTGTGATGAGTAGTCATTGCAAAGTAAAGCAAAACTATATCAAACAGAATTCAAGGGCCCAGAAGGCTATAATAACTAACCGGTAACGCAACAAGGTCAAAAATTTCATCTGAACATGTGGAAATGGATGTATCAGCAACCAGTCTAATGCCACCAGAAGCTTCAATTTCTAGCTGCCGCTCAACCGACGCCACAGTCACCTCTGCACCAGCTCGCCGCAGAACATCAACCAATATCACAGCTTCCATTTCTTCCGTACCAAACCCAATCGGAACCAGAACCTGCACACAAAGAAACAGCACAACTAAACCCCAATTTTGCCACAATTCTCTTAAATTTCGATAATATTGAAGAACAATAAATTTATTTGTGCATGTATGACAATTGACACAACTGAGCTGGGTTTCTCAATGTTTCAAGAATCAAACAACATAAAAGAAAATATAACGATTTTGGCATGGTTGAGTTGAGCTAGTCAAGTATTGAGCAATTAAAACAACACAAAACATGTTAAGAGTTTTCGTTTCCTTTTCCTCAATTTTCTAGGAAACCAAACAAAGGGTTTAGGGGTTTAAGACATCCAATGAAGGGAGGATATAGAACTGGAATTAGAAGACCTTCTTGGGAGAGAGAGAACTGGTGGTTGTTGTTTTTGTGGCTGCTGTGGAAGTGGATGTTTCTATAGTTGCAATTGTTGGTAGTGGCGGTGTTGAAGATAGGGTTTTGGAGTGTGTGTAATTGTGTATGACAATTGACATAGCTGAGCTGAGTTTATCAAATTTTCAAGAATCAAACAGAATAAAAGAAAAATAAAGCATAACAATTTTGGCATGGCTGAGTTGAGCTAGTCAAGTATTGAGCAATTAGAAACAACAAAAAAAAAAAAAAAATGTTGAGTTTTGGCTTCCTTTGGCATGGTTGAGTTGAGCTAGTCAAGTATTGAGCAATTAGAAACAACACAAAAAAAAATGTTGGGGTTTGGCTTCCTTTTCCTCAAATTTCTAGGAAACCAAACAAAGGGTTTTGGGCTTTACGATGTCCAATGAAGGGAGGGATATAGAAGTGGAATTAGAAAGACCACCTTGAAATCCCTGGAAAATATAGAAAAACAACAAATTTATATGTATATGTATGACAATTGACATAGCTTAGCTGAATTTATCATTCTGACATGGTTGAGTTGAGCTAGTCACGTATTGAGCAATTAAAACAACACAAAACATGTTGAGTTTTCGTTTCCTTTTCGTCAATTTTCTAGGAAACCAAACAAAGGGTTTAGGGGTTTAACACATCCAAGGAAGGGAGGATATAGAAGTGGAATTAGAAATACCTTTTTGGGAGAGAGAGAACTGGTAGCTGTCGTTGTTGTTGTGGAAGTGGATGTTTCTGTAGTTGAAATTGCTGTTGGTGGTGGTGTTGGTGATAGGGTTTTGGTGAGCTTTGAAGACCGTTTTGAAATGGGTGTTTTACGCTGTTGAGCGATGGGCATGATTGCGAAGGTTGAGAAGTGAAGATTTGAAGCAGAGACGGCCATTGGAGAAGAGAGGTTGAGAGGATGTGGTGAGACAAGTAACTGTAGAGACTTCATTGTTCGTTCCTAAATCAGTTCAGTTTGGGCAATTATGCAGTGTTTGTAGTGAGGTTTTGGGACTGTGGGATTGGGATATAGGATCCTTTAAATTGAAATACTTTTTAATTTTTTTAATACCAATTTAACGGTATTGCATTGAATTTATAAAAAATACATTATTGCATTATTTGCTATCAATATAATAAATAAATAAATAAAAACACTAAAAGTCACCATCTTAAAGAATTAGATTCCAAAAAACGAACATTTTTTGGTGGAATCGGAAGGAGTATCACCTAAAGGAGAAGTTGTACAATATTTCGGAATAAAGGTGTAATGTAACTTCTTTTTTAAATTGTAAAAGGTGTAATGAGACAAAAAGAAAATAAAAAATTACAATAATAATATTTTCACAATCTTATTTACTTCCTCATTTTCCTTTGAGACATTAAAAAGGAAAAAATGGTTAGACTAGTAAAGGTAAGTGAAATTATAAAACATGAAAGGGTTTATGTAAAATATTGATAAATTTCATAGAAAGTAAGTAAAATTATCAATGATATATTAGCATGGATTCTTCACATTTTATCTTGAAAAATAGATGAGATACCAGCTGGAGCCTTTATCCCTTAAATAAAACCTCATATTAATAAGTTTTGCTTTGTTGAAGTAATTGTGTTTTTACACTATTAATTTATTTAAACAAAATTAATCAGGTGCATTACACATTCTTATTTAGTAAAATAAAAATAAAAAGTCTAGTTTATTGGCAATAATAATACCATGTAATTTTATTGATGTTATGTCACCACCAATAAAATATATCATATAAAATCCATGAAGTGACTCAATATAAATATGTTACTTTTATTCTCCGTAAACAAATTAAAGAAAGAGAAGAAAAGATAGATATACGAGACATCTTAGAAAAGGAAAATGGAATGATTGAATGAGTTAAAGATCTTTGTTTGTCATAAGAGAATGGAAAAGCGGAATTGCTAATATTGGAAATATTTATGAAGGGTAATATTATAATTTAAAATTTTTTTGTAACAGTCCTGCATTTCTTCCTTTGTATCTTCCGACGAAAATTTGTGAAACAAGAAAGATGGTTCATTCACCACTTTTTCCCGCCTCTATGTGGGTTTTGTGGTTCTTGTCTCTGTGAGAGTTTTATTGTTCCTTCCTCTTGTGCGAGGTTTGGGGGTTTCTTCTCTGTTGGCGGCGCCTTGTGAATGCAGCCTTGGAGCAGTTGCCTTGACGATGGCCTGACCTGTGGGTCACTCCCATTACTGCTTTCTTCCTCTGGTGGTTTCCGCTGGTGCGTTATTTTTTAGCAAATCTAGAGCTTGTTCTTCAGTTTTATTCTCTTACTTCATGATTTGTTTGTGTTGGTACGATCATTTATGGCACTCTTTGTAGATACTGTATGACTGTTTTTATTATTGTCGGGGTGAAAAAAAAAATAAATAAATAAAAAATTCATCATTTTTTCCTTTTCTTGTTCCTTCCAAAAAGACCATTGAAGTAAACGCGTATCCATTGCCTAAGAAGAAAGGAAAACACACATATGCATATGCTTGAGCGAAGAAGTATGACTGTGTCAAATCTAATTTGTCGGTTGTTAATTAAATGATATAGTATCACTAATGTAATTAAATTTTTTTTCTTTCCATCTAGCAATGATTCCTACAAACTTGAGTTTAGATAAATAAATAAAAATTTAATATTTAAGGATGCCAAAGACGGCTTGGGCCAGATCCAACTCACATAACAAAGTATGGGCCTAATAATTTACAAGGGCCCAATCTTGACGTCCACAAAGCAGACCGGGTGTATTGGACTGATTAGAAAAGGCCTTCAACAAAGAGGATTCAGGCCCATAACCACTGAACCTTGAGGATAGGCCCAGCGGTGGAAGTTAGTTAAGAAGGCTCTAGAATAATGCAAATGGTCTATAAATAGAAAGGAGAAAGGAGGAATAGGGGGAGAAAACTTTTGAAGTGTAATGAAATTTTGTCAATTTAGAGAGATAAAATTCATGCATCTTCAATGGCGCCGTTTGTGGGAATCGAAGAGGATTCATTGATGATTCACTCAGATTGATTTGATCTAATGGTATAACGCTTGAGGATGAAGCCTGATCGTTGAAGGCAGAATTAAGGTCGGTGAAATTGTGACCAGAGAAATCGGCGTTTAATCTACACATTTCTGCTTTGTGCTCGTTTTGGAGAGTTGTGCGGTCAAGAGTCGCTGAAAGTGCCGAATTTGGCAAGTTCGTTGCCGAAGCAATTCAGATCTGGTTGCTCACGATCAGAATTCAGCTATACTACAATCCAGATCTAGAGCGTCAGCATTGGCAAAACTCAGATCTGATTAGAAATTTGCGGTTGATGACTTTGCTACGATCTGGAATGATGATCGGCGAAGAGAGTTCGAATCCAGTGGAGAATAACCAGCAGATGAAGCTTGATGAACTGATGAACATGATCGAGGCACTGAGAAAAGAAAATGCAGAGTTGAGAGCCGGAATGGAACGTCGAGAGGTTCCAGTTGCGACGCGACCACCTCCGGTAGGTGAAAGAGGCGTGCGACCTGATGACGCATATCAAGGTGAGCAAGAAGGAGATAACCACGCCAATCTCCACCGCGAGGAGGTTAGGATGGAAAATTTACTGCCAAACACTCGTCGAGCTGAGGATCGAGAAGGATCTGTACATCTTGATCCTCATCGTGAGCATATCAGGCGGGATGACAATATAGCTTTCAATCCGCATCAGGAAAGGCACAGTCACGAACAGGATATGGAGTTTGATTGTCACAAGGTTAATTCGCCGTGGTTCACGGAGGAAAGGTCGATTGATCCACCTTATCGGCCTTCAATGGGCACATATGATTATAGGAGTTCGAAAAGAAGATCTACAGATCAAAGAGTTGTCACAAGGTTTGAAAGAGAGAATGAAGCCCTCCGTTCGACAGCGCGGACGGTTGATTTGCCGTTCACCGATGAAATCCTGAATGCTCCGAGCCCGAGGAAGTTTTCCATGACTATTTTTATTCTATTCGACGGAACGACCGATCCGATTGATCATGTCTATCATATTCAATTGAAGATAGCACTGAACACAGAAAATGATCATTTGATATGCAAGTGTTTTCCTACAAGCTTAGCTGGACCAGCATTCAATTGGTTTAAGAACCTGCCGAGGGGCTCGGTAGACAGCTTCCGTAGTTTGTGTGATTGATTCATAAGCCAATACTATGGGAATAAACGCCCGACAAAAGATATCTCCAGCTTGTTCACCATGAAACAGCATGACGACGAGCATCTCCAAGCTTTTATTAGCAGGTTTAACCTAACCAAGAGCATGGTGATAGAGTGCCATCCTTCCACAACAGTTCAGGCGTTCAAGTTAGCTATAACCCGAGGGACACCGTTCCATACCAGTCTGGTGGTAAACACGCTGAAGACAATGGACGAGCTGAATGAGAGGGCTGATGGTTTCGTACGCTTGGAAGAGGAAGAAACAGCTAACGCTAGGAAGACATCCATCGTCTCTACGGAAGAGAAGTCCAAAGCGAAAATACGGCAGAAGCAAGTTCCTACGCAATGTCAGACCTCCTGGAAGGCAGAGAAGATGCCTAGGGAGGATGACCTGATTACTCCACTCAAAGTCACACTCACAAGGCTATCAAGAGAACAAAAAAAAGTTTCACCCTCCCTTGCCAATTAGACAACCGCTTAAGCAGCGGGATCAATCCAAACATTGTGCTTTTCATAGTGATTTTGGTCATCAGACTAATGAATGCAGGAACTTAAGGAGACAAGTGGAGATACTGATCGCTAGGGGAGAGTTTGCAGGGTATGTTTAAGGACCGGCGCAAGAGCAAAGTCGTCCAGCTGAGCAGGTCAAGAGAAACCAAAAACCGAACCACCATAACGCTCAGCCCGTACGGATTATCAATGCAATCCATGGCCGACCCGAGCAAACCGTAGAATCCGAGGAATTATTCCGAACACGCCTCCGCCAAGCGCAAATGAAGAGGCGAGTAGGCAGTGTCAACACCTTGCACCAACAGAGTTCGGCCATGCAGATAAGGTTCGATAGGGCAGACCTGATGCGAGTTCAGATTCCGCACGAGGATCCCTTGGTTGTCAGTTTGACAGTGGCAGAATGCTTGGTACGCAGAGTGCTTGTAAATCCGGGTAGCAATGCGAATATCATGCCTATAGTCACTTTTGATCGGCTTGAAATTAAGCCAGAGGAGCTCAAGTCTACTGGAAATCCGTTGTTGGGGTTTGATGACAAACGAGTCGAACCAATCGGCACAGTGGAATTGGTGGTCTGAGCAGCTGAGAGGGACTTGGTCGAAAGTTTTGTGGTGGTAGAGATCTATCCCTCCTACAATTTGTTGATGAGGAGAGGATGGATCCATAGGGTACAAGGAGTCCCATCAACCCTACACCTAGTGATGAGGTGCCTAAGCCCAGACGGGAGCAAAGTGATTGATATCCATGGGGATCAGGTTGCAGCAAAGGAATGCTATTCAGTGACCCTGAAGGCCGCAGGAAAAGGCAAGGCTCCCATCCGATCTGTTGATGCTGACCGAAGAGCCTCTGCATGAAGTTCAAATTGATCATTTGAGGCCAGACCGAACCACAAAAGTAGGATCGCGACTTTCAGATGAGGAAAAACGCCAGTTAATTGATTTCCTTTCTCAAAATGCAGATGTGTTCGCTTGGAGCCATTCAGACATGCTAGGGATTGACCCTTCTGTCTCTTGTCACTCCTTTAATGTTGATCCGAACGTCAGGCCTGTGAAGCAGAAGTAAATGAGGTTTGCCCCGGAACACAACCAAATCATTGCTGAGGAGGTAAACCGATTGATGGAGGCTGGGTTCATTCGAGAAATGCAATACCCGAGCTGGTTGTCAAATGTGGTTGTAGTACAGAAGAAGAATGGAAAATGGAGAGTTTGCATTGACTTCACAAATCTAAATAAGGCCTGCCCGAAGGATAGCTTTCCACTTTCGAAGATTAATCAAATGGTGGACGCTACAACAGGATATGAGCGATTAACTTTTCTTAA